TGAGAGTTTAGTAACGTCAGTATGCAACTTTCCAATGAGCGCAATAGGATATTGACCGCGAAAAGAAATTCTCCCACATGAGAAATTTCTTAGTCAATAATACACGAGACACAAAAATACAATAAGAAAATAAAATATGTATATGAAATAAAATAAATTATAAAATTAAAATATCAATCTAATACTTGACAGAGTATTTGTGTGAAGTAAAAAAAATGTTTTCTTTAAATAAAAGACTTTCCAATATGAGTAAATATTTTGAGATCTAATAATTTTTTTACACCTAAAATATCTGATCAAGACGAATAAGTTCTCAAAATCAAATGTAGAATGAAGTCTCATCAATCTAATTATTAATTAATTAATTGTTCTATAGAGATAACAAACTAGAAATATATTATATAATTTTAGTATGTTATGGATATTTAACTTATCACGTGCATTATAATTGATAGTGAAAGTATGCAAATTTATATAAGAGAATAATAGTAGCATTTCCTATTATTAAATGACCTAATTATGGTAATAAATAAATATGTAATTGATGAATATTACATACAAAGATAGGACAAAATATAGAAATCGTTAATTAATATAATTATAACATATCCAAATAATTTAATTTGTATATTTACAAGCAACACTAATATTCATTATTAATAGACATATTATTATTAATTTATTATTCAGTTATAATAAGTTCTTAACCCTTTTGCTACGAAAGTGTTGCCCGCGAAAGTGACACTGCTGTATGGGCCAGCCGGCCGCCCACGTACTTTCTACACAACATATTTAAAGATTTACCAATTATTATCAATAAAAATATATTTCAAAATTCGAAATCTCAATAATTTGACGCAAAGTGATAAATACACACAGGTCATCAAGCGTTCAAGCGTAGCGAAAGGGTTAATTATCAATTTAGTCTAATTTTTACCTTGGCTGTAAATGTCAAAATCAGCTTCAAATTATAACGTCGCACATAAATGAAATATCATTTAAACTCTGTTTAAACATTTATTTCTGCACAAATATACCTTACCACTTCAAGTATTAGAATACACATGTATATTTCTTAACTGTAAGAATTATTAAAGTGATGTTTAACACTTCAGCTGTGCTGATACAAATCAACGTATTGATGAATCGTTCATTTTTATGTATTTTTTGGATCTTTTGAATTGCATTAGAAGATCTCGCGTGGCGCGTGTTTTTTTTTTAATTTGATTGAAATAATAGCGCTCGTTTGAGATGATAACGGCGCGGAACCTCGTGTGCGACTGTTGTCGGCAGTTCGGTATTATGGTAACGGCGGACGACGCTATACAAGAGGCATGGGCATGACCCACCAAGGAAATCGCGCTGTTTATACAGATGATGAGTCCACCGTGTGGAATATTGTTACTATACAACAAATACTTTGTTAATATAAGACGGCGAATTGGCGGCAGGTGGTTGAGACTACAAATTAGCGGCAGGAATACTATTTTTTTTAATATATATATTTATTAACAGCAATCAAAAATTACAAATTTCTTTAAGCTATTGAGCAAAATTATACAAATTACATAAAATTACATACACAAACACAAACAAATATACAACATGAAAAATTATGTGAAATAGTTTTATAGTATTCGAATCTCTCCAGCGAGAGATTTACAAATAAGTGCTAAGTTGCATCAATGGGCCTTTTTCAATTGAGTCTTCTCATTGACGGTGCATTGAGCAAAGATGTAACTAAAACGTTCGAGTGAAACTCTAATTTTAACACGTGAGTGAGGGGTACTAATAACACGTAATTTTATTAAGCAAAATATTTTATTATTATTAATTATCATGTTCCGTTTTATATCGTGTCCGGCAAATTGTGCGGCAACCTGAAGCGACGCATTTTTCAGGTTGTATGCCAACTTGATTTAGATCAATTATAATTACCGAAATAGTATTAACTTCCCAAAAAAGTTTATGTTTTCATCAAAATGTCCTATTTGCTCATTTTATGTTTTCTCGACGTTTCAAGCCATTCTGAATCGAATAAGACCAAATTTTGAAAAAGAATTTGTATGTGTGTATGTGAACAGATTTTTAACTTTTTGTCCATGTTTTCTCAAAAACGGCTTTGCCTATTTCAAAATTTTAAAAACCATGCGATGTAACTCGATAAGAACTAGCGTTAGTCACGTTTGTAGGACGAGAAGCCAAGCCGTTTCTTTGTTAATAGCAGAAAAGTGAAAAAAAAAGTTGTCTACGTTCTAGTTCACAATTCTGAATCGGTTATAAAAATGCAAAAACCATTGATTGGGAATAGTGCTGAGTAGTTTTTGGTAAATATCGGCCTCCGTGTTCTTGTAATTAACAATTAAATATTTTTTTTACGATTTTTATGATAAATATCCTTATAGATTATACTAAAATATTTTGACCCTACGACAAATCGTTTAATTTTACAAATTCATAAAAATATGTCTAGCATTGTTTTGGCGTTTATTGACATTAGACCTTTTCTCGATGTTTTCTCAAAAATGATTTCAAAATTTTAAAAGCTATTTGATGTATTCTGATGAGGACAAAGACTAGTTTACGCGACGATCGGCCAAGCCATTTCTTCGTAATTAGTAGCAAAGTGTACACTTTTTCCTCCACGTTCTAGCCCATAACCCTGAATCTATTCTGAAAATCCAAAAACCGTTCAATAGATATTGGTTCTCAATAGTGCTGATTAGTTTTTGGTCAAGATCGAAGAGCGTTTTCTTGTAATTAAGTGTTGAAATAATATCATGATCCTATAGAACATACTAAAATATTCAAAATTCAAAAATTTATCAAAATTTGAAAAAATCAGTAGCGTTTGTTAAAATTAGACGCTTTACTTGGCATGCCGATAAAGAACCTGGTCTCAATGAACATACTTAAACTTTATCGTCCTACGAAAACTGGTTCAATTATAATAATTTATAGGATTTTAAAAATTTGCTTTTAGTAAATACTCCAAGTTGTATTAGGCAAGTGTTTGTTTTTCAATAATAAATTACAAGAAAACACTCGTCGAATAAATCTACTCGTAGTACTTATAAATCACTAATAAATTAATTTATTTATTATTGTTTAAGTCGATTATTCACACATATCGGAAATTTCATATAACTTGCCTTAAGGCAAAATACCACTTACAACTAGTTCCTATTTAGTTCATATATAAGTTATATAACGGATATATAAGTTTGTGTGTATACATATAATTAAATTTAAAAATTATATCTCCAATAAATAAATTTAATTATAAGTATAATGGTTTTGTTTGTGCTTAACAGTCGGAAGGCAGACAGTTGTTCGGTCTACTTTCTCCGATTATGAAACATTGCGCGAAAGTTCACCGCTGTTTTTTAGCGTTTATATTTACATTGATTGCATATTCAATGTAATTTTTGACTTATTAATTATTTATCAAGGCATGATAGAATAATTAATTAAAGAACTGGGTTTCACGATGTGCTACTCTTTTTATTTATATTTTTCTTCGCATAATAAAAGCTTGGTTTTAATGTAATGTGACTACATAACATATCATTTAATAAAATATATATTAATCAAACATTAACTTCAAAAAATGAAGTATTGAGGTTGAAAATGATGGACAATTAAGTTTACTTATCCATTTTTTTATAAAACTGTAAATTTATATGACGATTCAATAAATATCTTATGTAACTGAATATAATGTATATATGGTTAATTTTATGAATCGCAAAATATATCAGTGATTGTTTGGCCGCACACTAGGTTTGTGCTAACGTACTTTAGAACCATTTTTACAAAAGCGTTTTTATTTTTAAAAAAATGATCATATTGTTTCCGGTTATATAAAGGTTCATATGACCTCGTTCGCATTTTAATGTTTTTTTTTTCATTAATCTTTTATATTTTCGAATTCGACATGCGGACGCAAATTGTACGATATTTTGCTTATTTTATTATTCTTTGAAACATAATATTCATTATATTTAATGTAATTTATAAAATAACCAATTTCGACAATGTAGATTTTTTATTTACATTTTTCATTTTTAACTTTCCGTAGGGTAAGTTATAGTAATCGCAAAAAAATCAAAAATAATTTTTTTTGTATATCTTTACGTTTCAAACGTTACTGAATATTTTGGCATTCCTTAGATAAAATGGATGTATGTATGTGTATTTGTGTGTGCTAGTGAGTATGTGTGTGTGTGCAAATACAAATTTTTGTCGACGATTTTGCGAACACGGGTCAACCGATTTGAATAATTTAAAAAACATTCGATTAGTATTGATAAGAAGACGTGCTGATCAGTTTTTGGGGATATGAGGCAAAAAGTGCCAAAAATGGTGACTGATTTTTTCGGGAAACGGATGGTCCGATTTATATGATTCAAAAAAATTTTATTTGTACTGACGAAGTGAAGAACTTATTTTTGGGAAGGCAGGTCTAGCGGTTTCGGAGATCCAATAAAAAAGTAAAAGAAATGCTATTTGGTCAAATTATCATTTCACATATGCACATCAAATTATCACATATTTTATAAATATTTTATTAATAAGAACAAATTTTGTTTACTCTTCTATGGGTTTCGTACCAATGATTTTCGATTTTACGCAGCAAGCTTGTTGCGAATGCTTTGAAAAACAGTTCAAAATTTCTAAAATAGGTCAATTGTTATCAGAAATTTTAAAAATCTCAAAAATCGATTTTTTTCAGGGTTCTATAAGAAAATTGAATCTTTTTTAAAAAATTAAATTTTTGGTACGGAAAGTTCCAGCAATTTACCTTAAGGCACGGTGCCATGCACCACTAGTTATTCTTTTTCATTACCACCAACTTCACAATCGTAATACTAAAATGTCATAAAATTTTCCTCAAGTTGTTCTATTTGAAATTCGCAACATTTTCGCCTGAGTTCACGCAATAATACCAACAACGAATTGTTACCGTATGACTAACATGAACTATGCTAACAACGCCACGGTCATCTGTCATAATCAGTGCTGGCAACACGAAACCTTTTCGTGCTTCTCGGCATAGAGTGTTCGACTCACATCATTTCCTTTTCAATACATCGTTTTGGAGAGGACGCAGCCATGGTGAGTTAAAAAGTTATTTATTAATCATCCACGATGTTATTAATATTTTAATATATTTTGCATGAAATGTATAGTGTGTTACTGATGAATTTTGTGTTGTGATGAATATTTTATTGAAATTCGTGTTTTTTTTTAGTCTGCTCACAAGACTTTCATTATCAAGCGTAAGCTTGCCAAGAAGCTAAAACAAAACAGACCGATTCCACAATGGGTCAGAATGCGTACTGGAAACACAATTAGGTAAGTGTTTATTAATGTTTGTCCTTAATTTATTGAAAATAGTCGCTCCATAATTTTGTTTGAACATAACCTCTAAATTAACCTCGTTTGAAGTGTCATATTTGTATGTAATTCAAGATTAATAAGTATTGACGATTTTAACCTGTTCTTGTATGAAATCATTTATCCTATGACTTTAAACTTATTCTTTTATTTAGCAACTTTTGTTATATATCTATACGGTATTAACTTTTAAGCGGTCATTTTCAATAATGAACTGGGAGTAGTTTTTTCATTTGATTAGACAGATCTTGCATTGAAAAACAATATATCTTGTATTACTTATGGTCTATGCTTTGCGTTTGTCAAATATGATTTATTTTGCTCATGCATATTCATGATGGATAGTTTCCCATTACAAGTAATTAACTTCTTTTATAAACTTGTATAGTTCTTACCAGTTTGAACTACATTAGACTGCCAGCTTCAACTTAAAATGTTGACAGTATTTTTCTGTCGCAGCTTGTTTTGTCACCTTCGATCACTTGTTTCCACACATTAAAATTATTTTTTCTTTCCAGGTACAACGCCAAGAGGCGTCACTGGAGACGTACCAAGTTGAAGTTGTAAGCTGATCAACTTCCCAAAATGTTATTGTGTGAATATCTTGTGGTCCTATTTAAGAATAAATTTCTTATACATTAATTTTGTGTATTCATTTATTGAATTAACTTGTTCAAGATATCGGAAACAAATGATTGATGTACTAAAGCATTTTTGTAACAGGAATATACAATAAGTTGCAATGATATTTGAGTTTTCTTTCTTACTTGTTTCTTGTTACGAGGGCTTTTAATTCACAACACCCTGCAAAAATGTCATTTTCAAAATATGGCATTGTCTTAAGTTACTGTCGCTTATGCTCCAAATGTATTAAAACCTTATCATGATATTTCAAGGTTAAAAATCAATTATTAGAAATATTGATTGAGAATAATTCAGGTTGCGATCTATGTTCTTATTTCGTTTAAGTTGCTTCTGAAGAAATGTACATCTTTTTTTTTTTGTTGCATTTTAAATATCCCTGAAATGTATGTAATTGTTTCGAAGCAGCAAATCTGTTTCCATATAGCTCAGGTGTTTTTACATTGTTTGGCTTTGGTAAGATCCACTACTAAATTTCCAAGTGCATTTTATATAGACAATATAAATGGTTTTATTTTATAGATATCAATACTACTATTTTTGTATCTTAGCACAATAGTGGTGCTTTCGAAAGCATATGATTAGAATCAAAAGAATTCATTGGGTTTTTATTACTATTATTGCTATATTTTTAAATTTAAAAAATCAAATGCTAATGCTTACAAGACCCTTCGTTACGTTACCATAAATTATGATTGTGAAAAAAAAAGTTTAGTACTTATTTCATTTGTACTAAAGTCAATTTTATTTTGTATATTATGATACTTGTGTGGAAGAGGAAATCACAATAGATATTAAAATAAAAATGCAGCGCATTTTATGATAAGCAGTGGCACTGAAATTATTGCAATTTCCTGTTCTAAAATTTAAAATCCATTCATTCATTTATATAATGACTAAATGTTCAGAATTTATTTACTTAATTTAAATTTTTCTTTTTTGTGGTGATAAACTTTTGATGCTATTTTTTATTGCTTTAGATACGTTTTCAGTATTGGTTAATAAAAATTAGTTGTAGAAATTTAATAGACCAAATTAAATATCGTTTAAAATTTTAATTTTTAAGAATGGTTTTAAGCATCTTTTCAATTTTGAACGTTTATTAATTTTTGACCATACATATTTGTGTTTTACGATTCTTACAAATATTTTTTTTTCCGACGTATATTAACCCTTTCGACTCGGATGCCGCCACTCCGGCGGCATAGTCATTTTGCCGTTGCGCTCGGATGCAGCCGAATTAATACGAACCGTTAAATCAGTTCATATAATTCGTAAATACTATTTATAAATTACAACTTTCATTTTCATTTGTCAATTCAGATTAAACTAAATAGTTAACATTTACATTACCAAAACCTCTTGATATGATTTTGTAATCCAATTTATATTGTCTCCATCGATTTTATTATCACAGTAACAAATTGCATTGCCTATCTTTACTGTTGTAAAGGGAGAGCTGATGTTCATTTTAATTCTATAGAATAAATTCTACTTAATTATAACAATAATATTTGTTAAAACTAAACTAATATTAAATGCGATATGCAAACAAAAGATTTTTTTCCTTTTTTGTTATATATAAGAGTAGTTTAAACACATAACGATTTTTTTTTTATTTATTTATAATTAGCAATCAGAATACATATTCTATAAGCTAATGTGTGATGTATGCGCAAAATAAAAATTAAATAAAGTAATTAAAGTAAGCAAATAATGAAGATACAAAAATACAGATTATAAATAAATACAAAAATATGATTATAAGCAAATTAAGATAAATAAGTGCGTTAGGATTGCCTCCATTTACAAAATCGAATTATTATATTTACATAAGTTAGTCAAAATGTTTGTGGAACATTTGGGAATATTATAATTTGCGTTTTAAACATATTAATTACTTAGGTCAAACAAAAACAATTTATGTAAATTGGACAAAGTGCTTGAATCGCTTTTTAAGGATTATTGGACATGATTGATATGTGGTGATGTTTAAAATTATCACGTGTATTTTTAGTATCTAGAAAAATTCGTAAAATTTTTGGATTTTGTTTTAAATTCGGGTAAATTTCAAAGTTTTTTTAAATGCACTAGGTATTTCAATAGATTCACCCCCATGTAGTACTTAGTAATTTTTGTTTGTCAGCCTCACGTGATTAATGGATGATTTGATCTTATTTTTATTTTAGATTGATGTTCACAAATCTTAATATAAATTTGCAAGTTTCAATCCGGGCATGTACATGGTCTATGTATTTTTTTTAATAATTTGTGGAAATACATAAAGTAAAATTTTTTCTTGTACTAATATTTAGAAATATGAGTTTTAGTGTGAGAGTCGGCCTTATCAACGCCTTTTCTATAAGTAGTAAGTGCAGAGGAGAACAGTTTCACTGATAAATAGCGATGCAATTGTAACACGAATTATTTCTTGCAGTGAACGCCGCCGGTATAATAACGTTCAAATCGAAAGTTATGTTATGAATAGAGGTCTATGATATGTTTAATTTCCAGTCTCTTACATGCAATCAGAAAGATTGCTGGACAAAAAAGTGAGGTGAATTGGTTCGTTTGTGAAATATACTGCTAAACCTTTTGTTGGTCATATCAAAATTTGCACATGCCAAAGGATTTTAAAGGATTTTTGATCTCTTTAATATTAATGTGTTTTATTATTCTGATAATGAGTATTATTTTTCATTATTTTGTTTTAACTCGATCGCAAGTTGCAAGTACGTAAGAAAACAAAAATAACAATTGATGTATTTAACAATATTTTATGCAGAGAAATATGCAATTAATCTTTAAATGTGTAATTAATCTTTGAATCATGTGACTCAAAATGAAGTGATTAAATGTTTTACGAAAGGACAATTGTAGAACATTTTAGTAGTGTTGTTTTAGTGTTTTGTGTTAACAATGAGTGGTGCACTTTTTAATATATTTCTGGTTCATGTGATGTTGTAGCAAATAATTCCAATAATGTCTTCAGAATTAGGCAAGTTTTTAATTAATTATTTATATTATTATTATTAATTGCATTGCATGAGCTACAGTTTGTACATATTAAATAATGCGATATAATATTTTTATATTATAAAAGAATGTAATTCAGTTGCTCCGAATTATATTCTTTGTTGTGCTCAGGTCGTTCCGAATTTTGTTCACAAAAGCTATTTTTATAATCAAGTTTTATTTTTTATATTTTAATCAGGATTTTGAAAAAAAAAAACAATTATGAATTTAATAAAACTTAAAATTAAATGCGAATTAATATTACTTTAAATTTGTCAATAAATTTAAAAACAATTGCTATCAAATTAAATAACAGAATTCTAGAAAATGAAGCTTATTCTGTTATATAATTTGATAGCAATTGTTTTTAAATTTATTGACAAATTTGAAGTAATATTAATTCGCATTTAATTTTAGGAATATCAATTAAGTTTCGACAAATATTGTTTATTGATTTATGTGTTTTTGTTAACTTACTTTTAATCTCGTTGAATTTAAGAAATATTAATTAGTTTAATAAGTTACATCATGCTTAATTTTTAAATAAAATATTATCATGGTTTTTAGAAGAAATTACATCAGCTATAATATCGACTATAATATCTACACTATTGTAGTTTCGTAGGATGTTAATTTTCTAAATTACTACTACACATTCATTGATATTTTTTAACTTCAGTTTATAAAAATAATATCCTTCATTTTTACTCGCAAGGATATGAGTTTATAACGAAACATTCAAAACACAAGTGATATTTTATATTATAACAAAATTGTCTTTTCTATAAATTTCCAGTTCACGTGATACAGGATTCAAATGTGCAGCGCAAATGTTAATTCTTGGGTAATGCATTTGCAATGCAAATTTTATTTGCTCAGACTATCTACATTTCGGTCCATTTCCTCTCAAATCAAAATAGTGATACCATTTTTGCAAAATAATATTATTTATTATCTATCTAAACAGGCGTGTCTGATTTTTTTTATTTACATTTAAGAATTACAATCTGTCGTTCTTATACAACATTCAGTATTTTTGATGGTATATTAAATAAAGGAAAAAAGGTCGAAAGGTCACCTATTGGTGATGGATTCAATGCAGGCGTGTCTGTGTACAAAAAACTATTTGTTTTGCATTTGCGTTCAGGATCAAAACATACGATGACAAAAAATATTAATAAACAAAACGTCGTAAAATAAGCCGTTTAAAAGCAGTAAAGGGTACAATGAGCTGATTGATTTAGTTAACGTCGCATCGAGAATATCAATTGCAGATATGATAAACGAAGTATCAAGAATTTTTTGCTAAAAAAAATGCCATCATGTCCAGGGTGCAATTACTAATATTACATACATACCAATATAAAAATCGTTCTGTTTTTACAAAAATTATCAGACTCATTTTGACGCAAGAGGGATTGTGTAAAAACCCACTTATATATCTTAAATTACAAAAATTATTTCTATGTATACGATTACTGGATAAGACAGAATTTTGTTATCCCCGTTAAGTCGAATTTCACCAAAGTTAGTTAAGTTCTGCAGTTAACTTTTTCTCTGACCAATCAGGGACATATTTTTGATAAAATTTTAAAGCTTCATTTTTAAAAAACGTCCTAATAGATTCAAGCATCATAATCCATTTTGTGATTATTGATTGCAGTGGAAATATAGTTATAGTAAAGTATATTTAAATATTTTTATTTTTTTTTTTCAAATTTCAAGAAGGCCTTGTCAATCACAAATGATATATTTGCAGATGTTTCGAGCAGTTGGCTTTTAAGGAACAGAAACTAAAAAAATCTCGAAACCGCTAGACCTGCTTTCTCAAAAACTTAATCATGTTCATCTTGTCAATACAAGTAAAATGTTTTTTGAACTATTAAAATTGGACGCTCCGTTCTCTCGAAACTGAGTTACCGTTTTTGGCTTTTTTTGCCCCGCATCTTCGGAACGACTAGACCGGTCTTTGCCAAAAACTAATCAGCACGTTTTCTCATCAATACGAATCGAATATTGTTAAAATTATTCAAATCGGTTGATCGGTGCACCCGAAATCGTCGACGAAAATTTATATCCGCACACACACATACACACACATATACATCCGTTTTTTCTAAGGTATGTCAAAATGTTCGAAAACATTTGAAACGTAAAGATATATAAACATTTTTATTTTCGATTTTTTTTGCGATTACTATAACTCACCCTACGGGAAGTTCTTAAACATACTACTTAGATAATTTTGTTGATAAAAAGAACTAATATAGCGCCATCTCACTTATATATGTGTGGTATAAAAAATAGTGTTTTCCAAGAATTTTGGCAAAACAAATTTTTTTCTCTGATACATTAACATTCCTTGATACATTTTTTCCTAAACTATCTGATAAAGTTACCATGGCCAGCAGAAATTTTCTTGATATTATCTTAGCAATTAACGTGTTAAACTTTAAAGTTAAAAGATTCAATATGTTTTATAAAATGAATATAAAAGATTATCATAATAATAATAAGTGTAGTCCCACTCATTGCAATACTATCTAATCTAAAAAAATTAATTCATTTAATTTATTTAAGCAATTGCACTTTCCTCAAGCTATAAAATACATAGATACCAACTCAGGTCCTTGTTTACCAATATCATATATCAACAAGTGTATGAACTTTGTTAACACCTGTTTTCCACAGAGTGTTACTGAACTATAACATTCTACTAGGTATCCAGAGAAAGTGTTTCACTATATTATGAAACTCTGCAAATTTTTGCTTGGTGTACTGCATCAATTAGCAGAGCTGCTAATCATGTGCAATTTTTAGGTCGCGTTGCACCATCGTCGTACTCTGAATGCAACGGAAGCGTAAATTCTATGCATTGAGATAACAAAAAGCAATCGGAAGCACTAGTTCTAATTGTTATTCTAATCAAAGTAGTGATGTTTAAAAAAAAAATTAATTATTTTTTATACCATTTTTTGTACTAGACTCCTTTCTGAGAATACATTTCTGAATGTTTCTCAGAAATTAATTCCTTCCCGAGTCAAGATCGGTAAACTGTATTTATTTTTATATCCCTCAAAGATTTATTTTGAAGGGCTTATGCTGCGTTGAATTGATTTACACGATTTTAGAAAAATCAATACCCAATGAAAGTTATTACAACTCTTGAATCTGAGTATAGATTTTTTATATGTGTATAAATATCTATCTATAATAATCTACGCATATAAATAAAATTCTTGTCCCAAAATATAGAAATAGTCGTATTTTACGACAGTCATATGAATCAATAGACGTTTAGGTACATATACCAAATTATTTTTTTCAAAGGTTTTGTCTGTTTTATATTTACTATTATTATAATTATCTTATCTTATACATCTTAACGTAATTCAAAATATTTTGATGCATTTTTACTGCTTTCATTTTTTACATTAAAGCTATTAAATATGATTGTTAATTAAGTACATTGGAGTTCAATATTAAGATTTTAGTTGGAATTGAACAAATTATTTATAGATTATTTTTGTTAGTTATGTGATAACTTTTTGTTAAAAATGTAAAAGCTTTTCGTGTTAAATTGCAACCGAACGAAGTTACAGGTACAGCTAGTATATTTTCAAGATCTGTTTAACATATTAAATTAACATAATATTAAAAAGCGCTTTATTATGAGCATGTAAAAATAGTCATTAAAAGCTTACTTGCAAATAGCTTTTATAAATCTACGTATAACTATGATTTCTATGGTAGTTGTTTCGATTAATCAATATTTTTGTAATGGCAATGTTTATCAGAAAAACACGTAGAATTTTAATCTTTGTTTAGTTTTATCAATTAGCGATTTTATATATTTATTTATATTTCATTTCTGATTATAGCTCGTAAGCTTAGATACTTTTTGGGAAATTTTCAATTGAAGAAGAAAAGTTTTTTACTAAGAGCCCAGAATATAACCAAGAATTATATGGTTTATAATTAATACGTGAGTAATTTAACTACCAGCAATAAGAAAACATAATTGCAATTTCGTGACATGACTTGACAATGCTAGTTTGATACCTTGACTTGAGAGCTATTAATTTAAGACCATTTAATTATTAATGACACAAATTATTATATATTATATAATGAGACTAATGTAAAACTATAAAATTATTTAAACGAATAATTATATACAAGATATATGAATTATAAAATTATGTGGGTTTGTGTACATTTATAAGGAAAAAATAGTATAATTTGAACTTATATAGCTTAGAATATAAAAAACATTGAAACAATTACATCTTTATTTCCAACGTCGATAGCATTTTACAATTCAACTAATATATAATATTTACTTATTAAAATCAGTTTAAAATGATTGGCATTGATTCATATCAAATAGAATAGAATAGAATAGAATAGAATATTTATATATATAAATATATGTATATATATATATTTATATATAAATGTATGTATATATATATATATATATATATATTCCTCCATATGTATGTATACAGAATTGTATAAAGTTGCATGTGCAATATAAGTCCACATCTTAAGTTTTATATGCCAATAATAGTCATATTTATACAATCTTGCCATTAAACACTTTGTAATAAAACAATTCGCATTTCTGTTGAATCAACATTACGTCATGTATCATTTTAATTAAATAATAATAAATCGTTAATATAATATCCTTGCCACTTCGAACGAAGAAGTCATCTCTGCTAGATCTCTCATTAGAAGAAAAAATAATCAATTGTCTTTATAATTATGCAAATTCTTACAAAAGATGCTATTAGATTGATATTTTTTTTGCAGGGCTGTGTAGAGCTACTTATACGATTTCGGCATACATCTACTGTTAAACAATTTCTATATAAAATTATTTCATTTATAATATGTATCATACATACAGAAATTTAATTCAATATAAAAAATATGCTGTGTAAAAAGAAAGTTTATTTGTTAATTACAAACAATGTC